GCACTGCAAATGATAGTTTTCCAGAAATTTATTTTTCCTTTGAATCTTTGATAAATTTCAAGATTACAGATAAACTACTTAAAGCATGTAGGGTTCTAAAACAAGGATTTTTGTTTCAAAGTGAATTTCTTGGAATTCTGAAGAAGAAATAAAAGTTTGCTGTTGTTGAGTGCCATGGAGTCAGTTCCAACTATTGCAACCCTGTATATCGTTCTGAGGAGTGACTGGTGAGCTTGAATCACCAACCTTCTGGTTCAAACAGACTTTGCAGTACAGTGCATTAACCCACAGTGCCACACCAAGACTACACAAGGTTGCTAAACAAGATTAAATAGAAACATATAGCTTGCATGTAAAGAAATAATCACCAGAAATTAATTTTATGTACTTTTAGGTATAGATTTTTGGGAAATAGGTAGTAATACTTTGGTTAAAACATAAGACATCTTTGACTACTTTAAAATATCTGACTCCAGCAAATATTTACTAAGCTCCTACCATGTGTTAGGTCACAGATATGGTCTCTGTCCTTCTAGAGTTTAAAGGGCAATGGGTTTATCTTTCAAAAATATCCTACTTCTTGGTATACAGGTATTTACTGTTCCTAAAAATACAATTATGAATGTGATAGAGCACACAATGGGCAAAATGATGAAAATTTCTTAGATATTATCAAACATCTTAAAGCAATGAGTTGCTGGGCTCAGGACCATAGTCTCAGGGAACACCACGGTCAATTAGCATAACACTTTGATGAATAGCCTCTGAGATCTCAGAAGTTCATGAGTGGTCATCTAAGGTACAGCTATTGGTTTCTCCATGTGCAAAAGAAAAGAGTGATGACAACTGAACATGCTTGGAATCAATGAGTCCAATGGATTAATGGAACATGTGATTATCAAAACTAGATAATGTCTGGCTACCACCGTTCTGAAAAGGACCACATTAGAGAGTCCCAGATAGAGCAGCATAATATGTGGAACAAAACTCAGAATTATTGAAAACTAGATCAGGCTTAGTTATTATATAAAGACTGGAGGACCTGAAACTATGGCCCTCAACCACCCTTCAGATCTGCATAGGAACTCACCCTCATGGTCTAACTTTCAGCCAAGCTAATAGGTATATAGTGGGGGACAACAACATTAGCATGGTGTGCTCTCTATGAATGATATAATGATCAACCATTCAAAATCAAAAGGGTAACATTTACCTAAATACAAAGTTGAGAAGAGATGTGAAGGTGGGTGGAATGGAAATAAGAACTACAGGGAGGAAATGGGATACTGTTGTTGCATGGAGGGGAGATAACTGTTATTGCATGGAGGGGACTGCAATCATTGAGATGAAACAAAGTGTGTGATTTGTTAAATGCAAAACTGATGATCTTGTCTGTAAATCTTTAGTTAATTCACAATAAAGAAGTTGAAAAACATCTTTTCCTTTGTATTTCATATTCATGAAACAACTTCTGAAATATAAATTCACTTTCCCCAGAAGCATAAAACTGTTTTACTTTGTAGAAATCAGCTTTCTGGCCATTGTATCAGTATAATCCTATTTACATTTAATATATTTATATGTAGGTTTTTACACATCAGTCTTTTGTGGATTTGGTTAGCTTGAGTGAATTCCCCCAAACTCTGGTCAAATCTGATTAGACAAGCTAGATGTACTTTCTAAAACTTCAAAGCTGAGAATGAAACTTAGGCTTACTACAATGTTGTTGTTAAGTGCCGTCGAGTCAGTTCCGACCCATAGCGACCCTGTACAGGGTTTCCGAGGGTGTAAAT